ATACACTTCCGGTGTAAACAGCTTACTCAGGAACTGAGGAAGCAGGTAAGGCATGGTTTGGACTGAAAAAAAAAACACGTCCTTGTTTGATTCCTTGAAACGATTGTGTAATTATGTTCTGGAGACTTGAAGTCTGTACAAAGACACACTACATCAAAGTAGTTTCATGTCGACCGCTTTATACCTGATCATCCTGATCATGGATAAGCCTTTCCGAATTCCCTCGGTTTAATTCTCATTTCACTGTTAGTGTGTTTGTTTATATATACAAACAGCTTTTAAATTGAATTTTTAAGAGTTCATTATAATTGTATTTTATATGATATGATCTTTTTTAAAACAGTGTGCAATGTATTTAATTTTTGTATCCTTTCTATCAGAAAGTCATAGGCTATAATAAGAATCATTTGACTTGTTTAATGTATTGTGGTATATTAAGTTTATTTATGTATTCTCAAATTATTTCATTTCGATCCCGATGTAAATTATCTTGCTTATATTTGGAAACACCCACTTTTATGCGACCATCAGATCGGGGAGGAACTGGCTTAATTCTCTATAGTTACACTCTTCACATACTAGGCTTTTTGTCCATCTGTTTATATTGCTTTTATAGTTTACACTCTTCACATATTTTGGTTGGGGGTAAATCATCTTTTTGTCCATCTGTTTATATTGCTTTTATAGTTTATATTTGGGTTAGACTATATTTTGGTTGGGGGTAAATTATGTCAAAAGTGTAACGTAACATTTTAAGCAATTATCAGATAAATTAATAAATCCATTTAAAAAAAAAAGTTTTTAATCCATCAGAAAAGAATTTATAGATCTATTGCAGGTAGCAATACATATTTTTCAAAAAAAAAAAAAAAAGAAAGAAAGGCAAGAAAAAAGAATAAAAGAGAAATTAGAGATATTTATTTATAGAAAAAGAGGCACTATCTGTCTTTCAAATTATTTTACGTCTTATTGTTTCTATTCAAATTTTGTTCAGAATATCGTTAAAATCCAGTCTTTTATAAAATCAATTCCACAATTCTTCCCTAAGAAAATATTGGAAACAAAAATTTTCAGTATTATCAGTTAACATTTTAATACACAGTTAGAATAGTTAAGAATATTTGATGAAGGAAAGCGATCTAAGTGACATTGATCTAAAGAAAAAGTTCATCACAACAAAATTTCCTGTATAAATATCGATAAACATCAACAACAACAACAACAACAACAACAAAAAAAAAAACAATTTTTGAACAAAATAAATAAAGATATATAGAACATTTATGAATATCTCCTTTTATAATTTATAGAATTTAAGCACAGAATATATATCAAAAGACTCACACCCCCGTTATATTTGAAATACTTTAAATCCAATATGATAACTTATTAAATTAATAAGTCTGTTTTATATACCAATATATACAAATTAATTTGATCAAAATGACCATGAAAGTATAACATGTGATTTAATTTTTCCAGAGATTTTCTGCGTACATTCATTTCATTTAAGTGATGGAATCATAGTTAAGAATCATCCAAAATCATCACAACAAACACTGTATAATTCATCCTGAAACAATTTTTCAAGTCCTAATCAAAGTGACCGTATTGAATAAGTACCCGTATATATACTAAATGAAAAGGAAATATAAACAAAAGACCGTTCCTAATGAGATAGTGAACAAACTATTCTAAAGTGACCGGGAGTTATATAAATACTGCAGAATATTAAATAAACAAATAAAATAATATATTTAGAAAAAGACTGACTTTAAAATACATAACATGTACATCGTAGTACATTATAGCAGTTTTCTGTAAGACTTGTAATAAGTTTGTAAAGTCGGAATACCAATATTGACCTCATAGAATAATTTGACACCTACATGTAGTATCGCGAGTACCTCACAGATATATAAATTCTTACTACCGCTCTTTTGCAAGGGAGTAGAGAAGGCTCTAAATCGCACAATTTAGATATCTGGGGTATAACAATGTTTACACTAGACAATCGAATGATTCAAACAACCATTATGCCAAAAGTACAGTGAATTGCCAAGGATTGAAATCTAAATAGTACAAATGTAGCTAGATTATCAAATAAGGAAAGTTAAAGTATTAATGAACTTTCAAAAGTAATGATGTTCAATGAGAATTTAATGAGAAAAGTCTGCTCTAAAGAGAAAAGTAATTGTTAAAAATGTAACATATGAGGATAAGCCATTACAAGGAAGTTTTTGATTATGCAAGAACAATAACGTCATGTTTCTGCATACTAAGTCTTCAGTTTCAGAGAGTAGTGGTATGGATTCAGAAAACCACAGTGTGGTGATCCGGAAAGTTTGAATGTCACGCTAACTTGCTCAAAAGTCAAATATTATATTTTTATTACACGCTTAGTAATAAATACAGGTTTTTTGCATATGCAATATGGCTGACGTCACAATAGCTGTATCAGCCCTGCAGGGCTGATATGGATTTGCGGGGCTGATAACCTATATCAGCCCTGCAAATCCATATCAGACCTGCAGGGCCTCAATATCACACCCTTAATAAATTAAACCACAAAAACAGTACTTGTGATCATACACAGTTTTTGGTGGGTTCATATTCTTGTAATTTTAACTTTTTGAAAATAAATTTAATCTTAATTTACAAATACATATATTTACATTCGCTGTGTTTTTCTACTAAGCCAACTGTGAAATTGATTTGAAAATCATTTTCGTGTATACTCACGCCTAGAAATATACACGGAGAAACGTGCGTTACTGTGACGTCAATTTTTAGTAAAAGTATATCAATATAGGGCAGCGATAAATTCAAATATTGAGTATATTTTCGATGATTCCAAACATGTAAAATGTAAATATAAGGAATGTTTTTAAGTTTAGTGTGAATTTTGGTGAACAACTTGCACGTATGCATATTTGCTAGCTTCATGAAATATGCCTACGTGACAAGTCTGTGTATTCACAACCAATACCTCACACAAAACTTAAAAACATTCCTTAAGTAATAGATTATTTTCAAATTACGGATGGAGTGCATTGAAATAGAAGTAGAAACAAACCCAAATCGTGTGAGACAATAGACCATGTACATGTAGTATGTTAGTTTACTGAGGCCGAAGGCGATTTAAAAGTCAGCCAATTTATTCATTGTTATTAAATGTTGAATTTCCAAATGTTTGACAAGTTTGTTCTTGTCTCCAACAAATGTATACACTCATGATTTAAAGCATAGTGTAATAACACATTATGATTAGTGTTGGCAAATCAGACGATTTTTATTAAGCGGTTACTCACTTCATCTTCCGATTGAGTACCCGGTTACTCGGATGATTTTTGGTAAAAGCATCAATATCTATTATTTATCTTATTGTATACTTATCGGTGGTAGTAATGCACAAATATACTGTATATGGACATTATATTTACAATACACACATATGATATCGTCAAAGATTTACTGTTTTAAAATAAAGAAATAAGGAAGTCGACACACGGAGAAGACAAATAAATATGTCATTGTCAATCACCATTTTACACTTTCCTTTTCAGCCCCTGAAATATGTCGCAATCAAGGAGAATAATTATTTACATACTCCATAATTAATAGCATAGGCATCGTAACCGGGGGGCTAGAAGGGAAACAAACCCAAATCGTATTCCCCCCCCCCCAGTATTTTTTTCCAAATATATACATAGTATAGACATTGATCATATCTTCGTGAGTTTAGCCCCCCCACTTTCCACAGATACGTCCTACATGTAGTATAGGTTAAAATTGGTAAAAGTGTTGGTGTTTGGAAGAAAATTTTTGGTACTGGAATTCGAACCTTTTTTTTGCTTGTCAGATTTTTTTGGAGGTACAAAAAAAAAATTTCTTACACTTAGCCCCCCCACTTTCAATTTGCTTCCGACGCCAATGAATAGTCAGTATGTGGAGTTTCCAGTAAATCGCTGGTTTCCGAATATTTTAAGATTAGGTGATTTAACAGATTTTGAATCAGCTGTTCTTCTGGTAAACTCCAAGCTTATTATGTCTGCGACAGCATCTTGTTAAATTATCAAATGAGGTAATTATAATTCAGGTCTTCAAAAGATATATACCCCAGCAGATCAAAGCTATCAATTATATAAACTGTGAAAACTAATCAAAACAGTTTGATCCACTACAACCATGCACTAGATCAAGTCTAATGGTATCTAAAATTAGGGAAATGTGTAATTTAGTATACCGGTACATTTATAAATTATTAAACATTTATTTCTATGCCTTTACTATGGAGAATTCATTTTATCCAAGCAACCGAATAGCAGTTTTACTAACCGATACTCACATCGTTCGACAGTTAACCAGTTAACTGGGAACACGGATATTGCCAACACTTAGATTTATGATTGTAATTTATCAGCTACTATATATTTTAAAAGTGGAAAAAATATTATTAAACAATAGATACTCAACTATTTACTAAGAAAGTAGTTTAGTGCATTGGTATCTAGCATGGTAACATTTGCAATGACACATGTTTTAAAACGCCCAATTTGATTGGTCAAAAAATGTTAGCAAATCTATGGTTGGTCAACATGGTCAAGAGGGAAAACCCAAAAACCTCCTAGAACTTTAATTTGAAGTGAACTCACTCTGAGGTACACCCCAAAATGCCCAAGGAAAAGGTGTCTAGTCCAACCAGAGAGCACCCTAATCCCTGATCATTTAATTTCTATGCTTCTTGTATAGGAATGGGAACTCAATAGTATTACAAACTTTTACTTTGAGAATAAAATTGATAAATTTCTGTATAAAAATGCTTTTACAACATGTATTAAAGATTTGTTCCTACTTTTAAAAAAATTCCAATACATTCTGAATTTAATTTATAATTTTTTTTGTTAGAATGTTCAAGGCAACCAGAAGCTTGAGTCCATCCTGAACATAGAGACAACACAGATATTAGCCAAGCTAGATATTGCTAGAGGATTAGTCAACAATTCAGCAAGGACTAGTGATGGATATGTTCCAGGTTCCACAGCTAGGAGAATGTCAGGAAGAAAAGCCTCATCATTAAAAGTGTTACAGGTGAATTATTTAGGAATTTAAAAAAATAAATAGGATAGATAAAGATTCACCAGGGAATGAATTTTTTGTTGGTTCATGATCACATCTATTGAGAAGCCAAAGGCAAAAGTATTGCATGCAGTAAATATTGTTTGGATGTAATCACACTTATATCATTGTATATAAATAACCTTTATCCGTATTGATAAATATTTTGAATTTATTTCAGATAATATAAATCTAAATTCATTACTTTGTCAAATTATATTTTCGTTTCCAATGTCTTTGTTCAAGAGACAATTACAAATAGTCAAATGAATGCACTTTATTTCTCCATCAATATACTGGTTCATTGATAGGCGCTGCTAAAAAAAAAATCACGTGCAGGGCGGAACAAAAATAGACAGACAGTAGAAGCAGGGCTTGTAGCAAAATTTTTATTGGCCCCGAAAAAATCATATATATATATCTTTTTATAATATAATACAAGAACTTTTAACTGTCATTTTCAATTTCATGACATTTTAATGTTAATAGTTACTAGCTAGTTCCTGTTGCTTGCATGTTATAATAACTTTATGCTTTTTATTTTATATAAATGAAATTTCTGCAGTTAAAATATATTATGACTGTGTATGATTTTTATCACAAGCCCAACCAATTTTTATTTTGATCACATCATCAAAATTCATCGGAAAAATAAGACAGTTATTTCTTAAATAACATTTTTATTCATTTATTTAATACATGTTGTATGAATTTTGCCAGCATCTTCAGATGGTGAAATGTCAAGCAAAAAGTGCATTCCAAGCCCTCAAGAAGTTGTGTCAAGCCCTAGTCGTAAAGGCATTCCAGATCTAAAGAGTAGAAATGGACCTATATGTATGGTTTTATTGATGAAAATATGCCATGCCCCAGTGACAAAGGTGAACCAGTTTCTAAAAATGGAGATGAAGCTTGACCCTGGAAAGAAAGCATGTCTGTCTCTAATGATAGAGATGTGACTTTATCCAGGGACTGAGATCTGCAAGTTCTAAATGAAGGAGATTTGCCAGGTGCTGATATTACTGATATCCTACATGTGGGTCCCATCTGCTCAAGGTTCCAATAGTGAAAAATCTTGGTTAGGAATGAAGTGTCATCAGGTATTGCTTCTATCAAGAATCTTCTTTCTTTAGAATTAATAAAATTAAAGCTTAAATTATTAGGGCCCGCAAGGATTTGCGGGTGCCCTGTAGTAATCACTCTGTCTGTCCGTCTGTCTTCTTCTGTCCACAAATTTTCTGTTTTTTCCTAATAACTTTTTTTATGGTAGCCCAATTAAGTTCACATAGGAAAATTTTTTAAAAATCTTCTTCTCAAGAACCACTGGGCTGGGAAAGATGAAACTCATGTGAAATTATCCTCAGGTAGTGTCGATTCAAGTTTGTTCAAATCATGACCCCTGGGATAGGGTGGGGCCAAAATGGCTGATCAAAGTTATATATAGGAATATATAGGTAAAATATTTAAAAATTTCTTTTCAAGAACCACAGGGCCAGGAAAGATGAAACTCGTGTGAAATCATCCTCAGGTAGTGTCGATTCAAGTTTGTTTAAATTATGACCCCAGGGGTAGGGTAGGGCCAAAATGGCTGATCAAAGTTTTACATAGGACTAGATAGGGAAATTTTTTAAAATCGTCTTCTCAAGTACTTCAAAGCCATGATTAGTGATATTTATGTTGAAACATCCTTAGGTAGTGTAGAATTAAATTTGTTCAAACCATTATAACGCCTAAGGTAGGGTGGGGCCACAATGGTGAATCAAAGTTTTACATAGAAAAATAAAGAGAGAAATCCCAAGAATAGAAAAGCTATGTTTAGTCATATTGACATGTAAGCATCCTCATGTATTTAGGATTTAAATTTATTCAAATCATGGCCCTTTGGGGCAAGAAGGGAAACAATGGGGAATCAAATTCAAATTATTATGAAGTTATATATAGGAAGAAAATGTTTTTAAAAAATCTTTTTATCAAGAACAGTAAAGTCATATGCTGTGTTTATATGAAGGCATTGTCAAGTAGTATTAATTCAAGCCCCCCCCCCCACTTTTCAATAAACTTTTCCTGATCTGATTTGTGCTTTTTCCTAGCCGATTTGCTCAGGTGAGCGATGTTGCCCCTGGGCCTCTTGTTTGAATTACTGGGATCAAAGCTGTTGATTATTGCTCAAAAGTTTATCATATACTTACACATTTTATTCTGGTTGAAATGTTTGTAATTTTACAATTAAGTTGCAATTTTTTCAGAGGCACTAAAGGAAACTGATGGCATTGTTTTTGTGTTTGAGAATAAGAGTGAGGAGGAGATAGATGACAGTCAAGACAATCAGGATGTCCATATTGTCACTCCAGGTACTGTATACACACTGCATTACCCATTTTAAGCAATAAGTTTCTTAACTTGAAATTATATGCAGAAACCCAGCATGGCCAGCCAGTCTACATGCATGGAAAATTTTCTAAAGACTTGATATTGAGTATTACCAGTAGAGCTTCAGTCTAAAATGCAAACAGGTGGTTCTATTCAAGGATAGCCAGAGTATAGTTCAGACAGAAGTTATTTGCATTGATTGAACTACTGTAGATCACTAAATTTTTGCGACACCTTATTTTCGCGAGAAAGTCATTGACTCTTGATTAGCGAGACAAAATTTTCGCGAATTGTGGTTATTGCTCTATATAATCTTAAGGAATACTATTATACGCGAGAATTAAATTTTCGCGAGCACACTGTCTCGCGTAAGTACACGAAAATAAAGTTCTCGCGAATAAAAAGTGATTTACAGTATACCAATTTCAAAATAAAGTTCTCGCTAATAAAAAGTGATTTACAGTATACCAATTTCGGTCATAACATTTCACAAATATGTCTTCTGAATGTAGATGGAGGAGCTAGCTGAGATTAAATTCCTAATCAACAAAATATTTTACTGGATGTGAATTTATATAGCAAAGCTTTCAAGTACACAGACCATACAAATAAAGAAAGTACCTATGTATCACAAATATACTTATTGGCTAGTAAACAATCATTCTCCTGCCAGATTATATTTCAGATGAAAAAAATTGCTTTAACTCTTAGAGCTATTTTTATTATTATTATTTTTTTTTGTACAGACCATACCACCAACCAAGGAAAATTATATTTTGAAAATATCATTTTAGGGAAGAAGAAGTCATTTCTGATCCTAGATCTACTTTGGAAGATTCTACATGCAAGTGACAAGAGATACAAAAAAATCCCAAGGACATCATGAGAAATGAATTTAATCAACAGACATTGCGGAAAAAATTTTATAAAAAATTGTAATAGGACCTTAGAGAAGTGTAAAACACCAAGGATATAATCTTGTTAAAAAACAGAGAAAATCAATATTAACATTCTACTTTCAATTGATATGCTTTGAGAAATATGATAAACACTGTGTTTTAAAGCCACAGTAATGGAGGACATTGAATTCTTTGCAGCAGTTTTATCATTAGGCCATTTCAATTTTTTTCTGTTTTTAGTGTCTGTGGATGGATTGGTTTTGAGGTCATGCAATCAAGAACAAACACAAAATGAAATTGACAAATACAAATCTTTGACAAGCAATTTACTCTTCTGGGATCAGCATCTCTCTTTTTTGAAAGTGATGTGCTCAAGTTTTTTTTTTTTTTTTTTTTTTTTGTTTCATTAAACTAGTAGTAGTAGTAGTTTAATTTAGCTATAATATGAGGAAAATTCTCAAATGATCAGGAAGAACTTTGCGTAAAATGTTGTTTTTTCCCCTTTTGTTTTGTAATTTTTTTTTGGAAGGAAAGAAATGTTTTGAAATTTAGGTTGGATGCTAAACAAAGAAAAAAACTTGGAATGGCCTCATATAACCTACATGGACTAAACTGGCATAAATGAAGAGTGCTTAAGAAGCTGTGCATGATGTATGTAGGAAATGATTTTGAAGTATTAAATATTTTATGCAAAAGGAAATTTTCTCAATTTAGTTAATTTTTGCAAAAAAATATTGCTGCAAAAATACTTTTCTTATGTGAATTGAATATAAAGAGTTGGGTTTGATGCATAAATAGTCCTGTTCTTATACTAGTTCTTTGAGAATCACCCCCTGTCCCATTTCTAACATCAAAATAAAGTATGGAGTATTTCTCATTTCCTTTAACAAAGATTTTTTATAGAGTCCTGAGATTGGAAGTTAAACAAGATTTCAAATTTCTTGAAATATTAAAAATGCAAAGGAAGGAATTTTCAGGATATGGGAGAATTCAAATGGGACATTGAGACTTGGTCAGTTAATTGGTATATATATGGAGGGCCATTTTATGGATAAAGTGAACCTAGCTCTTTTCACCATTTCAATAGATTACACAGTCACCAAGTATCAAAATGATAAACTGATGCATTGGTTACCAAAACTGAGTACTTTTGATTTCTCACAATTCACAGGGCCAAAAAAAAGCTTTCAGTGAATCTTGCTCTTTATTACATTTATGTCTGTAAACTTTTACCATGTGCAAACATCCTTTGTTTCTAGAAATGCCATTATCTTCTGTAAGTCCCCAAACTTTTAACATGTGTATAAGGTCCTCAGTCTCTATAAATACCTGTATATCATGTGTAAGTCCCCTAACTTTTAACATGTGTATAAGGTCCTCAGTCTCTATAAATACCTGTATATCATGTGTAAGTCCCCTAACTTTTAACATGTTTATAAGGTCCTCAGTCTCTATAAATACCTATATCATGTGTAAGTCCCCAAACTTTTAACATGTGTATAAGGTCCTCAGTTTCTATAAATACTTGTATCATGTGTAGGTCCCCAAACTTTTAACATGTATATAAGGTCCTCAGTCTCTATAAATACCTGTATCATGTGTAAGTCCCCTAACTTTTAACATGTTTATAAGGTCCTCAGTTTCTATAAATGCCTGCATCATGTGTAAGTCCCCAAACTTTTAACATGTGTATAAGGTCCTCAGTTTCTATAAATACCTGTATCATGTGTAAGTCCCCAAACTTTTAACATGTGTATAAGGTCCTCAGTTTCTATAAATACCTGTATCATGTGTAAGTCCCCAATTAACTTTTAACATGTGTATGAAGTCCTCAGTTTCTATAAATAACTGTATCATGTGTAAGTCCCAAAACTTTTAACATGTGTATAAGGTCCTCAGTTTCTATAAATGCCTGCATCATGTGTAAGTCCCCAAACTTTTAACATGTGTATAAGGTCCTCAGTTTCTATAAATACCTGCATCATGTGTAAGTCCCCAAACTTTTAACATGTGTATAAGGTCCTCAGTCTCTATAAATGCCTGCATCATGTGTAAGTCCCCAAACTTTTAACATGTATATAAGGTCCTCAGTCTCTATAAATACCTATGTCATGTGTAAGTCCCCTAACTTTTAACATGTGTATAAGGTCCTCAGTCTCTATAAATACCTGTATCATGTGTAAGTCCCCAAACTTTTAACATGTATATAAGGTCCTCAGTCTCTATAAATACCTATGTCATGTGTAAGTCCCCAAACTTTTAACATGTGTATAAGGTCCTCAGTTTCTATAAATACCTGTATCATGTGTAAGTCCCCAAACTTTTAACATGTATATAAGGTCCTCAGTCTCTCTAAATACTTTTAACTATGTCATGTGTAAGTCCCCTAACTTTTAACATGTGTATAAGGTCCTCAGTTTCTATAAATACCTGTATCATGTGTAAGTCCCCTAACTTTTAACATGTGTATAAGGTCCTCAGTCTCTATAAATACCTATATCATGTGTAAGTCCCCTAACTTTTAACATGTGTATAAGGTCCTCAGTCTCTATAAATACCTGTATCATGTGTAAGTCCCCTAACTTTTAACATGTGTATAAGGTCCTCAGTCTCTATAAATGTTCTTATCTTATTCAAGTCCCCAAACATTAGGTATGTGTATAAGGTCTCAGTTTCTATAAATATATGTATAAAGTCTTCAGTTTCTTTTATTAGCCTTATCATGTATAAGTCCCTTAAACTTTTATCGTGTGTACGAGATCCTCAATTTCTTTTTATATCTTAATCTTAAGTAAGTCCCTAATTTCTATATATATATATATCTTGATCTTGTCCCTAAAGTTTTGCCATGTGTGTAAGATCCTCAGTTTCTTAATTTTCAAACTGTGCAAGTCCAAAAATTTTAACCGTATGTACAAGGTCTTCAAAAAACCCTTTTCTTGTTTGTTGGTACATGTTGTTTAATGTCCCTGCAAATTTTGTCCTATATTTGGCACGTACGGACATGGAGAAGTGAGGGATCTTTTCCGTGCAAACATCTGCTGCATCAAGGGAACTGGTTTCATCCGAAGGATAGGTATCCACGTGCCACAGTTGTATTCGAACCTGTGACGTAAGGATCAATTAACCCCAATTAATTGCAAATCTAGAGCAGACGCTCTAACCACTGCGCCATGCAGGCGAGACACCTTTGTCTTGTGTAAGTCCTAGCTTAAATCATACCATAATGAATATAATCTTTTAAAATAATAAAAACATAATGTAATGCGATATTACATGTATATAGTTAATAAAAGTGTCCTTTTATAACATGCATACATGTATTTCTTATCAAATAAGTTCAAGAGCTCTTGTATTTTAAAGGCTGATACAGAGCAGTATCGGTAACAGCTACAGTAACTTTATTTCCGACGCTCAATAATAAACAGGCACACTCAATAATAAACAGGCACATATCATAGGGGTGGGGGTTGGGGGGTTGGCCACCCCCTTTTTTTCCAGACATTTTTTTAACTATATAAATTGTTTATTGAAAGCCCCCCTCCACCACACACTTTTGGAATAGGATATACTGGACAAGTATATATTTGGACAATTTTTTTCGGGTAAGTTGAATTTTTAAAAATTATTTCTGGGGCTGTAATTCCCCTTTAATTTTTTCAACATAGATGCCCCCTTCCATTTCTGCTTGTCAAGGAATATTTGCTTGATATTGCCCCCCTCCCTGAAAATATTTGTGCAGCCCCCATCCCCCCAAATAAACGCCCACTAAAATTGCTTCCTACCAGTCAGATTGTGGTTCTCGTAATGGCTTAGCAAAGTAAAAAAAGGGAAATTTTAGCTCACCTTTACGATGAGAGCATGTATATCGTCGGCGTCATACAGGTTAAAGATTAAGGGTCCATAATTTAATGTTTTTTCATTTTAATATTTATTTAATAATTATAGCAACGTTAACGAGAAATTTTAAAAGCTACATACATGTATTTGTTTACAGTTTTACTATTTCAGCACGATACTTTGAGAGAGGACTTGTAATACTTTGTGTATTATTTTAAAAGACATCATCGGGAATAATTGTCCTTTTTGTCCATGTGTCACTAAAATCACAAACACAAAAAAGGTCTGAAATGCTCTAAGTATTTTTTGTTTTTCGCTTAAACTCACAATATTTATCGTGAGATTTTGGGCTATAATATTCTAATTTTAAATTTTGCTCCAGATTGCAAAACAAAATAAATTACTTTTCTGTATAATCTATCTAAAAATGGATAAGGATACAATATAAAGTTTATAAGGATAAGGATATGTTTATAAGGATAAGGATATAAGGTTTATAAGGATAAGGTTTATAATTAAGGAGTTATGTTATATTAATAAAATATATATTGTATTATGTAGGTCGTGGCCACAATCGCCAAATCAAAAATAAATGATTTTAAGAAGTTATATTTGTCTTCATCGTCTTTAATAATTAATTACTTTTTTGTATAATCTATCTAAAAATGTGCAAATTTGAGCAGGCGATTTTAATTCAGAATAAAACTTTGAGGATAGCAGTAGGTTATTGCTTTAATACTAGAACGATCTTGTACCGCCTAGTGTGCATATTACAAAAAAAGAATATTGCTTATATTTTTTGGTGAAGTGAATAGATTAATTAATATACGAGAAATTATCAAAATCTTTTGGTTATTTTAAAGTTAAATCCATATTCAAAATGAATACGTCATCGAACAGGTTCGATGATTTGGTACATAATGGAAAACATTTTTACATTCTCTCTTTAATTTTGTTTAAAACGTACGATTTTTAAGTTTCACTGTCGAAATTTCAAAGAAGGATCAGAATATTTCTTTTTTTTTTTAAATCAAATTTATTTATCAAGCAATCATGAATAGTTTTCAGTGTCAAACACGGATAATTTAAAGTTAAAACTACTTTCATTTTTGGTGCCAAAATAAAGTAAATACTGATTCTCAAGAGTTTCTCCAGGAACCTCGAGCGATATATCCTAGCTCGCCACTTTTGCTCTCCACTCAAACGCGAATTCCGGTTGGACTGATGTACAACTATAGTCGAGAAAATAAATATTAATCATTACTACGTGAACAATATGAATAAATCGTCAAAACCCCAAAATAATCGCTCCACCAAAAAAAAACCCCTATATGTTATAAGAGAGATGTATACTGGAGTATTTTTTTTGTGGAGCGATAATTTTGGGGTTTTGGAAATTTATTCATATTATACACGTCCATGTACATGTCTAATAAGCTACGGGGTTTAATATCCGGGGGGGGGGGGGGGGTCCTGTCCACAAATTCCTGTGCTTCTGCCTTCTACTGGTAAACGACAGCTATATTTATGATATTTTAAAAGTTATTTTATAAATGAGAGATAAGTAACTAAATGTAATTTTCAGATCCAATGTTTTGCTTAAAG